GGCGGTGTACGTGGACGCTAGCTACGCCGACGCTGAGGATAGGCGTTCGGTGTCAGGGCTGGCAACAACGGTTGAAGGGACCGTCATCAGCCACGGTAGCAAGACGCAAGGTATCGTATCTTTGTCGTCTACGGAGGCAGAGTACATTGCTCCCGGGGAGGGTGTGAAGGAAGCTTTGTTTGTGCGTGCAGTGCTTTCGTTTATTGCCCCAGAGACCAGTGGCAGCAGCATTCAGGTCCTTGAGGACAATCAGGGGGCTATGGCTTTGGTGCAGAACCCCCTTAGCTCAGCGCGTAGCAAGCACATCGACGTGCGGTACCACTTCATTCGTGGATTGTTTAGGTCGGGGGAAATCTCGATCAAGTTTGTGTCGACGTCGGAGCAGCATGCCGATATGCTTACCAAGGCTCTTAGCAAGAGCAGTCTGCAGTACCACTGGCGCAAGTTGATGATTTGCCGGAGTAGCTAACAGTTTTTAGTACTTGGGAGCGGCCATGTTTACCATGCGGGAAAGTCGCATTACTGTCTCGGTCTGTGTACCCATGGCAGCAGTAGGGGGCGTTGGGAGACCATCGTCCGGGGGAACGTAGTTCCTTGAGATCTTGTCTTCGCCTTGGCCTTTCTGATAAGTGCGGCCGTTGTACATCCGCCGTGATAGCAATGGTTTTTGTGTTGGATACGGTTTTCTTTGGAGGGGTTTTGCCCGGGGGCCGGGTTTCCCCTCCACCACCGTATGGTTTTTTATTGATGTATCCGGGGTGTTTTTGCCCCACTGATGGTTAGTCACTTGCGTGAAGAACCAGGGAGGGTGTTCGTGGGTCTACGGACATGGTGGATACATTACCCGTACGTACAAGTGTGACGCAGATGGTGTAGAACCTTTAAGGTAGGGGTACGGTGATGAAGCACCACGTCCGTAGACCCACGAACAATGTAAAGTGGCTGAGTCTAATAAGAGAATTAAAAAAAATTGTAGGCGTGGGAAACACGTGATGGTGAGTTTAGTCTGTTCAATATATTATTGTACAGTCTTTTGGGTCGCTTGTCGGTGGAATAATAAAAGTATGCAATTACTGTTCTTTAGATCCTCAGATGGCTCTAGCACTTTCGTGACCACGGGCTGAGAGTCTTTGCTAGATTTTGGCATTTAGCAACTGACATACGGTTTAATGTGAAGACAACAACAACAACAACAACTGCTCTTATAATGTATGCATACCCTGTTGAGACAGGAACAACACCATTTGAATATATATGTTCATTTGTATTTTTACAGGATGGACTGTTTATTCGGGTCCTCCGCCCACCCACGACCCACCTGTCGGTTGTTGTTGTTGTTGTCGTTTCTCACATTAGCTCGATAGTTCACAAAAAATGGGGAGTCCGTGGTCTCAAAACCCGGCACATACGACGCCGCGGGGAAACAAAGCACAAATAGGGTACATACAACTCGGAAAGAGAAACGAAATGATCGAAAGAAAAAACAGGCACCACACCGACTGTTCGAGAAAGAGCCCTCGGACACCGATCAAAATAAAACAAAAACTGAACTAAATTATGATTAGAGCCATTCTTGGAAGCACGGAGTCCCTCGCCACAAAAAAGTAAGTGGACGCGCATGGATGGGTGCAGTGAGAAGTGCCGGTCAAAGACTGACGGTCCTTTCGGGTACGCGTGAGGTCGCCTCTTTTCTTTTTTTGCTTTTTTTGGTCTATTGTCCAGTCTGGACTGTGGTTACTACCTCGCATAGCGTATTGAAGCGAGCGGAGGGTCCTCGACTAATCTGTCGTTGACTTGCGGACCCTTCTTCTGCTTCATTTTTTTTTCGTATTACTTCTTTGGGTAAATTTGCCTGTGACTACGGCGGGAATCGACCGCGTCAAGTGTCAAGACTATCTATCATTCACAGTAGTACGGACAGACGAAGAGGGTACTGGGTAGAGAGAACAGAACGAACGGTTTTGTAACTACAGTAATTATGAAGACAAACACAACCGAACTGCTGGGTTCGTCCATGAATAGCTTTTTGCAGCACCATGACGTACTATTAATGTATAAGACGACTTCTTCACGGATGGGTAATGAGAGGTGTCAATTTATTTAACACTTACTACAATAACTGACTGAAGTATGGAGGGTGCTGCTTGTTTTTTTGCATGGCATGTACCGGCAGTAGGTGATATAATATATCGCATCATCAATATTCACAGTTCATAGCGTTAGTCCACGACGACGAGGATGTCAAACGATAGGTTTGTTTCGGGAAGCTATCGGTGCCGATGTCGCCCGGCCACGCTTTCTGCTGTGGAGAAATCGAGCTTTGAAAATTTAAATTTTTCAAAGGGCGTGATTTCTCATGTCATCTACTCTTTATACAGAACTCTTTGTCTTGCTCGTTGGGCGAACATGTCGCGTTGTGCGCCCTCGACCTTATTTACCGCTAAAAAACTGGAGAGCTTCAGACAGGCAACGCGACGATACTCGTCGAGTTGCTGTCTCAACAGTCTACTCTTGGGAAGAAGTTCTGAAAAAAGAGATACGCGGTACTCTTTCATTATGACGGATGAGTCACTCTGTCCACCCACAGCAAAAAAAATGACAAACTCTCTTCACTACAAACTAACACCGTCATGTATCACCTTTCCACTCGGAGCGCGCATTACTTTCTCCGTCTAAGAGACGCCGGATGTCTTTGTCCTGCCCATCCTCAGTCCATTTCACGTGCGGGTCGCAGCTGTTCAGCAGAACCCTTGCGTCATGAGGAGAGAGAGGAGGCAAGAAATTCATCAAAGCTTCCTTCAACTCGCACAAAAACATAGCAACCAGTCAATGTGGAGTGTGAAGCAGTCAGTGGGATGTCTGCTACAATAACTTACCACAAGAGAGGCAGCGCGCCCTCCTCCCGTCGGCTACTACATAAGATAGTCTGCACATGTGCACATCATACCGATGGCTTTGTGCGCCTCATACATACACTTCTTGGTTTTCTCTGCGAGAACAGAGAGCGTGCGCAACACGCGGGCTAGGCTAGATATAGTCAAAACAAGCGAACTGGGTATGCTGCACTACCACACCATGCTCCAGGTTGGAATTTGATTTCACGGGAGACATTTTGAAACGGCGAATGAAACTCGTGCGCCCGTCCGGCGGCCTATCTTGTGTCGAGAGAAGAGATGAGCACGCACCACAGCACCGCACCCGTCGCCTTTATCACGTAAACTACAGTAGGCCTGTCACCTGAACCAGGCCAGCTTGTTCCCCTTGAGCGCTAGAACTAGGAGAGACTTCTCTGGTTCGCCCGTCGGGTGGCGCAGGGACTCGACGGTGTTTTCCTGCAACAGCTTCAAATGCTCCTGGGTAGGCTCTGCATGCTCAGCGATCGCCAGCGCGAAAACGCCATGCAGTGTCCCTCCACGATTCACAGTACGCTTGGGTTTACGAATGGAGGAACCCATGGTGCTGTGGAGCCTTTGCAAACAGGTTGGTGCTGCCCTTCATGGGTTGGTGAGTATGTGTTATGGTGATAGAATGATAATGTCGCGTGGAACGTTCTCAGGCTCGAGACTACGTCATCTGCGTGCTGTTCATTGGACATGGGGAACGTTCATGACTGGCACGGAACTTTCATGACTGCAATGATTTCTTCATGGTTTCCACACCCGCCCCACCCACATTGCTTTCACTTTCCCTTGAAAGCACACGCCTTCCCCACCTTGACGTGGAAACAGGACATAGAGCCAAGTTGATTAAGCCCACGACGGAAAGAGCTGGGAGGAGATGGATCCAGATACAAGCGTCGAAGCGATGTCCGATCTCGTCAAATCCATCGACTTCACATGGATGTTTGTCTGCATGGTACTGGTCGTCCTGATGCAAGCTGGGTTCGCAGCCTATGAGGTAACCGAGACACAAGAGAAAGGGATGCGGATGGAGCAACGTTGGGCGTGCGTTCACCTTGGCTGTGGTAACTTCTCTTTCGTACATGCCATTATTTCTTAATTTCGAATATGAACTGTACTGCTCCCACTGCTGCGGTAGACTGCAGCGTGATGTGTAGAGCGACACACACAAACAACGGCAATTAGACCTAGTTGTACTTTCAACAAAAAATGAAGAAACAGCTGCTTCTTCCGTGATCTCTGTAAACAAAAGCACCAGTCGAGTTCATTCAATGTACGCGGACAGGCCCGGACATGTACTGCCAGAGCTCGTTCATGACACGGTTATGCAAGTAGAACTCAATGTCGACGAATAGTCTAATACTAGACCCCGAGTGGGGGGAGTTTTTTCCGCGCGCACCATCACAACAGCATAA